CGCTTAATATTTTCATTTTCCACAATAAATCCATGTATTCACATGACAGAAAAGAACAATAGTGCCTGTAGAGGTCATAGATTCCTCGAGGCAAGAGAATCTTTGAAAATATTTCTGTATTTGTCAGAAGAGGAAACTGATGTCCATGAAATTAGGCAACAACCACACAGTTCATGCTAAAGTCTAGGGTCCCTTCTACTCCCAGTTCAGTGTTTATACTGAATTCCTTAACGGCCGAGGGACAGGGCTCCCAGAGGGACACGCTGGCCATGTGACGAGGTGCTGTACTGCTAAATCACATAGGCAGTAAGGAGCTAACTCCTTGTCTCATTCAGTAGATGGGTTTTTATTTTTAACCAAGAGGGAGAGACAAGCAAAATCTCATTAAAAAAAACTCTGAAATCGGGGCGCCTGGGTGGCTCAGTTGGTTAAGGGTCTGCCTTCGGCTCAGGTCATGATCCCAGGGTCCTGGGATGGAGCCCAGCATCGGGATCCCTGCTCAACGGGAAGTCTGGCTTCTCCCTCTGCCCCTCATCCCACTCATACTTGCTCTGTCTCACTCTCTCTCAAATAAATAAAATCTTAAAAAACAAGCAAACAAAAAAACAAACCTGAAATCCTGGACTGCATCTAGCACCAAAAGGACAACTGGTTTTCAGGATGCATGTGTGATAGATGATCAGAGCACTTTACAGTGTCAGAGATGTAGAGGTACTTAATGACTTCAAACATTAGGAAGATAGATGAGAGAGATTGCAAGAGAGAGTGAGAGAGAGGGGGGAAGAGAAGGGGAGAGAGAGAGAGAGATTGTGGGAAAGGGAAATACTCAACAATTGAGAAAGAAGACCAACCCAGAATATGTCTTCCTTCTCCTCCTAGGAATCTCTGTGGGCTTTATTTGGGTCTTCCAGGCACTGCTGGTAAAGAAGAAAACATTTTTTAAAATCCCACACAAATAGCAATTTTCTTTTCTTAATTAACAAAAAATCTCTAGAAATGTGTTTGAGAAAGGGCTTACTTAAAGAATGAAGTGATTCTGATGTACACAGATACATAGCACGCTGGATAAATTGAAAACAGCATAAAAGCTATATAAAAATAGCTATGATTTGTTGAGCATTTGTGGTGAGTAAATACTCTACATTCCTTTATTCCTATAGCTTTGCAACCTCTCCTTTAAGAACATTGTCCCCATTGCACAGACAAGGAAGTTGAGGCCTGGAGATGTTAACTCCTGTGCACCAGACTACAGAGCCACCTAGTGGCAGAGTCTGATGCCAAAGCCTGCTCTCCTACCAATGTTGATCAAAAGAAAGAACGTCCAATGAAAAATGTCTCTCCAACAAATGGTTTTGGGACAATTGGACAGCCACATGCAGAAGAATGAAACTGGACCATTTCCTTACACCACACACTAAAATAGAGTCAAAAGGGTTGAAAGACCTAAATGTGAGACAGGAGTCCATCAAAATCCTAGAGGAGAACACAGGGAGCAACCTCTTTGACCTCAGCCGCAGCAACTTCTTCCTAGAGACATCACCAAAGGCAAGGGAAGCAAGGGCAAAAATGAACTCTTGGGACTTCATCCAGATAAAAAGCTTTTGCACAGCAAAAGAAACAGTCCACAAAACCAAAAGACAACCGACAGAATGGAAGAAGATATTTGCAAATGACATATCAGATAAAGCGCTAGTATCCAAAATCTATAAAGAACTTGTCAAACTCAACACCCAAAGAACAAATGATCCAATCAAGAAATGGGCAGAAGACATGAACAGATATTTTTCAAAGAAGACATCCAAATGGCCAACAGACACATGAAAAAGTGCTCAACATCGCTTGGCATCAGGGAAATCCAAATCAAAACCTCAATGAGATACCACCTCAAACCAGTCAGAATGGCTAAAATTAAGAAGTCAGGAAACGACAGATGTTGGCGAGGATGTGGAGAAAGGAGAACCCTCCTACACTATTGGTGGGAATGCAAGCTGGAAAACAGTATGGAGGTTCCTCAAAAAGTTGAAAGTAGAGCTACCCTACGACCCAGCAATTGCACTACTGGGAATTTACCCCAAAAATAAAAATGTAGGGATCCGAAGGTGTACATGCACCCCAATGTTTATAGCAGTAATGTCCACAATAGCTAAACTATGGAAAGAGCCAAGATGTCCATCAACAGATGAATGGATAAAGAAAATGTGGTATGTATATACAATGGAATATTATGAGCCATCAAAAAGATGAAATCTTGCCATTTGCAACAACGTGGATGGAACTATCGGGTATTATGCTGAGCGAAATAAGTCAATCAGAGAAAGACAAGTATTGTATGATCTCACTGATATGAGGAATTCTTAATCTCAGGAAACAAACTGAGGGTTGCTGGAGTGGTGGGGGGTGGGAGGGATGGGGTGGCTGGGTGATAGACATTGGGGGAGGGTATGTGCTATTGTGAGAGACTGATGAATCACAGACCTGTACCTCTGAAACAAATAATACATTATATGTTAAAAAGAAGAAGAAGAAGAAGAAGAAGAAGAAGAAGAAGAAGAAGAAGAAGAAGA